TCAGACTCCCAGTCAAGCGCCGCCTCGCAAGTAAGCGCAAACATGGGCTCCTCATCCCCCGTCGCCCCAACACCCGGACGAGTTGGCCCTGCAGGAACGGGTGCAACTTCGTCTGCCAACGGCTCAGCTCGGAACGATACCGGTGCCATCTTATGCGTACACGGAGGGCTGTCGCCACTTGTCGACTCTGTGGATAAAATCCGGCTTTTGGACCGAAAGCAAGAAGTACCACACGAAGGAGCTATGTGTGATCTCCTCTGGTCCGATCCCGATGAGATTGACGGATGGGGCCTGTCACCGCGTGGTGCAGGCTTCCTATTTGGAGCCGATATTGTCAAGACGTTCAACCATAAGAACGACCTCAGTCTCATCGCAAGAGCACATCAATTGGTCATGGAAGGTTTTAAGGAAATGTTCGACTCAACAATTGTCACTGTCTGGTCAGCGCCAAACTACTGCTACCGTTGCGGCAACGTAGCCGCCATCTTGGAACTTGGCGAGGATGGATCAAACGCTGGTTTCCAAAGGAGATCGAACGGCGACAGAGCAGGCGGTGGTGGAGGCTGGGTGCTAGGCTCCAACGCTGGACCAAACGGCGAGAGGCGACTGAGTTCCGTACTCAACGACACTTATCAGAAAAACAGAGACGGTCCAGGACGGCGGTACCGGGTCTTTGAAGCTGCCCCCCAGGACTCGCGAGGCATGCCGGCGAAGAAGCCAGTAGCGGACTACTTCCTTTGAGGAACGGCGACATTACCGCTGGAACTGGAGTTGAATAAAGCTTGAGGATTGGATACCATGCCTCATTAGGCCATTCCCGCGTTGCTTATGGGGTTGCTGAAGAGAACATCCTGCAATTGAGCTTGGGCGTTTGGAGTTTGCAATAAGAGTCCAATGAAGTTTATGGGGCGAAGACATCTGGCGCTTTATGCTGGATGAGGCGATATAAGACTCCATTGTTGCTATACCGTCACCCGACCAAAGCTCATGTGCCGCCATATCTCTGTCATGTCTTCACTTCTCTCAGCGCATTAATCGTACAACAGATCTGACACCACTCCGTCCATGCCGATAGCCAACTCTGATGAAACCCTGGAACGCCGTGGGATGTTACGAGTGTCGACCTCATTACAAAGTCATCGAACTGACGCAAACGTCAGCATCTAAAGCCCAGATGATGCAGTATCATCCCAGCACCTACCGTGTACGGCTTTTGCTTATCCCAAAGTCGGTGAGGACGAGGGCACGACCATGATTCTCGTCCACGTTTCCAAGCTCAACATCTGGTATACGTTAGAAGCGAGGCTAGGATGATACTGGGGATCAACCGACATACCGACATCCGAGCGGGCGATCTGACGTTGGGGCCTGAATCTGCGCAGGAAGTATGCCAGGAGAGGGATACAGGTAGCTAGTAGGGTTACGAAAGCTATGATTGCTTCAACCGACCAGGAAGACATGGTGAATCGTTCCAAGGCTATTGATGACCGTCAACGCAGAGTATGAAGAGGAATGCGACGTTTGAGAGGGCTTCGCTTTCGGGGAAGAGCGCGACGTTTGAGAGAGATTCGTTTTCGAGGAAGAGCGCAACCTCCATTCCGTCTTTAACCATATGCTCGAAAGCAGAATCTGCTATTGAAGCTCCTACAGAATCTGCATTGGTACTTTTGCAGGTTTTGCACAATTGGTCAACATGCGCTCCGCCTCCGTTCAGCCAGGCATAACAGGGTGGGCCATCTTTACAGAATCTTGCTCTAACCAGATTGGGCCACTTGTGGTCGTCACACAGCTCGAGATTTTGTTATGGTAATGTGTTGGAGTTCCGTAGCGCCCACAGGTTTTGTATAATTGGTCAGTTCCACCATGCGTCATTGCCTCGTTTACAGAATCTTGCTGCAGTTCTATGCAGCCAGGTTTTGCATGATTGGTGGGCGGGTGCGCGGCTGACTGAGACAAGGGAAATGAGGTCGCATTGTTGGTGCACACGAGACGTGGCGGACGGGCGCAGTATACGTCAGGCATCGCGTTGAAGCAAGGCCTGACCGGTCAAATATCTAGGTATGCTCCAAAACGTTCAGCCTGGTCGTTACCCTACTTCTTACTCTCTTCCGCTCAGCCTGACGCCTCGCTGCACACGATGAACAACAATGTTAAGACTGACAGACTCGATGAAGCGATATGGCATCGCCATCGCACAACAATCGAGAGCCTATACTGGGGAAACTCACTCGATAAGATCGATGCGCAAATGAAGAAGCATCATGGTTTCGTCGCTAGGTAGTTCCATTGCCGCATCACATGCTACTAAAACCTAACACCGCAAAGCAAATCACAATACGAAAGACATTTCCGCAAATGGGAACTACGGAAGAATCTCACTACTGCCGAATGGGCAACCACCATCCGATATTTGACGAGCAACTCCATTGAGCTTGACCAAGTCGAAGTGTTGTTCAAAGGACGCGAGATCCCTCAGAGCAGAGTTTTGCAGGAAATAGCCCGGCGCAGCTCGCTTGCCAACACCCTACACCATGGTATGTTACCTAGGTATGTTCGGATTTAGATGTTTAGTGCTCATCGTACCCAGGTTCCCATAAGCTTCCCAAGGATATCACCGTACGACCACGAGCACGCGCACCGGCCATTGACCCCGCGAACGGTCTTCAAATCATACCGAATCCTTCCGCAAGTTCGTCCTCCTCTTCTATGCAAGTCGAAACCGACTTTGGCCTGACCATGATAACCTCGCCTTCTGTCTACGGCCGCAGCTTGAATGGACCCACCCTCATTGCCGAGTATAGCTTGCCATTCTCCTGGACACATTCTATCGATTTCAACTTTATCTCACGGAGCCTCATTTCTACCCAGCAGTTGGTGAAGTGGACGAAACCGTCCAAGATGCGGCTCGATGCGATCTTCCATTCAAAACATCAGCCGCTCGTGGATACAACATGTGGAAGCCACAGTACAATACTTCCCCTGTACGCGATCACGTCACTCGCTAACAACGTCTCGTCGGGCGGTCGTACGACTTCGAATGACTCGTACGCACTGTTGAAGGCGCTCCCTCTGAGAGACGTTTCACAAAGCTTGAAGGCCCTACCGGCTCCGATTCTAGATGCTCTCCAAGAAAGAGTGTTTGCGACTGCTGTCAGATTTGGGGATGCAGATCTTGTTTTAACCATGCTAGAGCTGGACATGGACCCCCGCGAGCAGATCATGATGGAGTGGCCATCTGAGTCGAAACCAACCTACCCACTTCAGTTTGCCGTAGCTGCAGGCCATTTTGAGGTCGCGAAAACTCTCAGTTTGCACTTGTGTCGAGAGGCAACTCATGTACAACTTGATGAGCTGTTTGACCATGTTGTCGAAGGAGATAAATCCAGCGACCGCTTCACAAAGGACGTCAGATTCAGTGAAACAGAAAGAACAGAGCTTGCGTGTATCGCTCTTCGCGCTGGGGCTAGGCCACATCGGAAATACCTAAAGACGTGTGGCGTTAATGTTTCCGTGGCATCTCTTAAGCAGCTGATGGCCGCTTCAACGGCAGGGATCCTCGCATGGCTGGAAGCAGGCCTGCTTGAACACTATTTCACCCAGGATATTCACGAGCAGCAAATAGAAGTCCAAATATCCTTGGCTAGGGACGTTCTACAATTTGTTCTGTACAGCGACCAGCACTATCTACCGAAGAGCGACCCTAGACTGAAAACAGCAATCTTGGGCGCACTCAACGCTGCTCTCCTTCCGCACCACGAAAGGGCTGTAGAGATGCTTCTGGAAGCTCTCAGTCTTCTGGGATATCGCCTTGACGATGGGGACGCTTACATGGGCGATCCCGGCGCGCTCGGCTCCATGGAAAGATCAACCCTGGAGGCGTTCGATAACGCAGACTGGAATCTAGTAGCGTCTTTGATGATAGCAAAAAGGCCTATAGCAAACTCAGACAAAGCTCATTCATTAAGATAAATATATAAGCTAGTAGGTATTATTAAAAAGGTGTCTAAGTCTAGTATAGCCCTCTACTAGTATTAAAAAGGTTATAAAATAAGAGTAAATACAACATATCTTTAGTAGTATAAAGAAGCTTAGACTAAGCCTTATAGCTTATTACTTAAGAATTACCTAGTAAAGTAGCTCTTCTTATAGTAATTAAGTAATAATAATAGCTTTACGTATAACTATAAAATCTATAATTAATAACTATAGCTTACTATTATAGTAATAATAAAGTAACTAAGTATTATAATTTTAAAATAACATAAATTCTCTTATAAGAATATTTACTTATATAGCTTTCTCTCTCTCTCTATCTATTCTTTTCTTTCTTATTAACTAACGCTTCTCTATTAGACTTAGTCTCTTTAACTTTCTAAACTTAAACTCTTTATAATATTCTCTAATATTAAGTATTTAATAGTAGGTAGCTTTATTACTTTTTATATTAGTAGCTTACTTACTTAAAAAGAGCTTATAATTACTTAACTTCTAATAGACTTAGACGTAAGCTTAATTAATATAAGTATACGTAAGTTTCTTAAGCTTCTTAATAAGCACTTTAAAAAGCTTAATAAGAAGTAACGCGCTATAGAACATATTAAATTAACTAAGTAAGTAATTAACTATTATATTAAGATTAATGTTTTAAAAATAATTAACATCTACTTACTAGTAATTATAGTCCTTTATAGTAAGTATAAAGGTTACTTCTCTCTTCTACGCTTCTAACTTTAAGACCTTCTACACTTAGCAAAGAATAACAAGGCGATAGAGGATTTAGATGCAGAAGACTAGCAATTTATTAAGGACACAAAGCTTATTTAGTTAAGGAGCAAAAGTCAGAGCTTCAAGATGCCATTGAACAGGGTGACCTAAGGCTCGCGTACCACAGGTACAAGATGCTGAGCGACAAGCGGCTCAGATTTAACTTTGCATCACGCATTGTCGAACTTGCAATCAGCCTCAGCAACTCTAGCTTTGCCATTACCATCGTCGAATATATGGAGGACCAGTTGGGAGTGGGCTTAGTAGGCCTGTTGGTTCTGTTGAAACATGGCCAGATCACGACAATCAGTACCCTCCTAACACGATATCCGTTTTGGGAATCTGCATTAGACGCTTCAAGCGGTCTCTACGATGTTGGTGCCCTGGAGACATTGTTCTTCCACGGTCTGGCAGCGCCGTTCATCGGTGCTGGAGAGGGCGAAGGTGCTATCTCGTGCACGGACAAAGTTCAACTTGGCTGCCGGACTGTTGCTTACCATGCCATGGCAATCAACGACTTCAAGCTTTGTAAATGGCTGTTACAGATTGGCATGGATCCTGATGAATTCTATGTCGAGCATGACCTTGATTTCTCGATCACGAAAACACCAAGATTACACTGCTCTTTTCCTGGAGGCATAGGCACGCTGAAATTATATGATGGCCACATGATACCTTCTCTCCTCGCCGTCGCCGCCGAGAATAGCGACGTAGATTGGATGAAGTTCCTTGTGACTGAAGGTGTATATGTCGTTGACTCGATGGCGTTATTGCGGGCAATCAAACTGAGGGCAACCATCGCTACAATACATTTTCTTCTCGACGCAGCCAAGCCAAGAATCTCTTCTGCTGAACGAAACTATGGTGTTGCAGCACTTCGTCAAGCGATCTCGTACCGCGATATCCTCAGGATAGAGGTTTTGTGCGGTGTTGTACACATCAATGGCATCGAGCCGTCCGAAGAAGAATTTGAGTCCTCGGTTGGTATTAGCCCTCTAGGCGAAGCAATAATCGCAAACGACTCCGGGATGGTACAGCTGTTATTGGAGCATTGTGCCAGCCCCAACGCATTCGTATCCTTTGAAGGCTTGAAGATGTCGGAGCATATCAAGAGTCACATGCGACGAGTAACTCCCTTACTGGCCGCTATCGACGTACAAAGTCTTCCTCTAGTAAAGATACTGGTGCAGCACGGAGCAGAGCTGCAGTACACACGCAACATGGGTATCAGCCGCACACCTCTGCAAAGAGCCGCTGAGACGGGTCGCTTTGACATCGTGGATTACCTCGTCGGCCAGGGTGCGATTATCGATACAACTCCAGTATACTCTGGCGGCACCGCATTGCAACTAGCTGCCATGAGCGGTTTCTGCGGCATTGCAGCATTTCTGCTCGAGCAGGGGGCCGATCCAATGTACCCACCGGCCAAAGGCCACGGCCGAACTGCTTTCGAAGCAGCAGCAGAGTGGGGTCATGTCGATACGATGTCGCTTTTGATGCAGTGGAACGTCAACCTCGATGCGCAGTTTGGAGAGCCTCCCGAAAGTCAGTACGAGCGGGCTTTTTATTTTGCCGAGAATAACGGTTTCATGGCGGCATCGCGGTTCGTCGAACATCTCTATGAGCAAAGGACGAGAGACGAAAGTTGGCCTGCGGGTTTGGTGTTGGACTCGATGTGATTGATACGCTGATGATGCGGAGAACTGCGGACATCTCTGGGACGTGTCTTGGGTTAGTTCAAATAGAGTGCGCCGCTCATATCTTACTCGATTTGCAAGTTGAGTACGCCTACTAACTTGAACGTCGGGTATGAACTTGGCAGTGGCTGGTGGACCCAAACTATGACGTCTCATTAAGATGTAGCTATAAGCTCAGCTCACTAGCATAGCTTCCACCTCGTTCCCTCGAAGTCTTTTCACTTAAATCCTCCATGTGGACAAGCTCGACCTCCTCGTCGTTTTCCTCGTGCCGGACTGCAAAGGTCCTGGTGTATGTGATCGTGTTGGGTTCAACGGCCAGGCCTTCTTTCCCACCTCTGTCACTTCTCAACGTGTCTAAGTTCTGAGTTGTGCCACGACTTCTTCTACTGCCGTTTCCGTTCGCGCTGCTTCGCTGGGTGCTTCCTTGTATCGAGCTGATGACCGAAGGGATTGCGCGGATGAAGATCAGGCGGAGAGTCGGGATGCAGGCGCAGATTACTCCGACATGGAGCTCGTACATGGACCACAGGACGACTTTCGCTTGCTTCCATGTATAGTTGTTGTCGCCGTCGAAGAAAAAGAGCGATTTCAGGCGGAGGATGGACACTACTGTGACACTGCGGAAACGTAAGCTTGGGGCCAGATGATGTAATGTGGGCTGTAAGGGCACTGACAAGGTACCAAGAGAGAACATCAATGCCACGCCGAACTTTTTCACCCATGTCATCTGGAGATGATAGACCTCGTATAGAGGAATGGCTATCATCCAGAGGTCCAACACAATGCCTATAATGGCATGCATCCATACTACCGCATCCATGTTGAGACATTTTGTTGGTCTTTCCATGTCCCATCCCGTCCAGAAATCACTAACCTACATTGCCAAGGACGACGTTAGCTGGTGTACCGCGCACCTCGTGAGTGAGCTTGACGTACCGGTAGACATGGCATCGCGGCGGGAATGAAAATGGAGAAGGTCCATAATCCAATAAAGATGATAGTCCCCCACAAAAGCTGTACTGTTCGCCGTCTGAGGAATATCCGTAGGAAGAAGGAAAGGAGCGTAATCTTGACCAAGGCAGCCTGGAGGAGGTATAGTAGTGTGACGACGTATAGCCATCGTATAAAGTTGTCGATGTGGTCAAATGGAACGTTCCAAATGTCGATACCGATGCCATTCGGAAGCATACACCTGTCGACAATAACGACAGATGGTACGGCTAGAACCACCGTAGCTAGCACGAGAAAGTCGTCCCAATTAAGCCCATTGACGTGGAAAAACATGTGGTAACTAAAGCGTAAGATGATGCAGGAGCCTGTCACTACGGCCAATACGATGTTTGCCACGCGTAAATGGGTAATTTCCGAGCGGACAGGCACGTCGCAGAGAGCTGAAGTTACGTTCTTTGTGGCTGGGAGAGTGTTGTAAGCAAATGTTCAGTGTATGGTGGCATATTGAACTTACTCAGACTCTCTCTTATTGTACACGACGAAATTACGCATTTTTCCGCTGCACTCTGGAGCTCAGCGTTGGCACATACGCATTGCTTATCCGAAAGTTGGCAGGGTGAATCAACTACAGCTGTCGCCAGGCACAGTTGCTACAACCATTAGCAACATATCATATGACCCATGTTGGCTGTTACATACCGCGCAGCTTGGAAGCGAGCCGATCGCCTTGAGCGCGGCAGCGTCCTGTGCCACCCCGATCGAAGCCCATGCCGCGAGGACCAATAGTAGGTACAGCGGCCATCTCATGTCTCGTCTCGTCCAGCGACACACAGTATCCAAGTCGAAGTCGTCTGGCAAGAGGTGGGAACAAAGAAGGAATCAACGTTCCAGCAAAGGGGCCTTCCCGCTTGCAAGGCCGCGATTTGTATGTATGCTACAAGGCCTTGGTATGGCTGATCCGATCCGCCTCGTGGCTTCCTGCAGCGTTGCGTGCTAACAAAGTTTAAATGTGCGGTACCCTTGAGTCTCCCAACCAGAGGAGCCGCACCCCTCAACGTCGTCCAACGGTTCCGTGTTCAGCTGGACTGCCACCTGCGCAACCGATTGCAAACGTTTCTTGGAAGGAGTAGGCTTGTAGCTGCATGTGTGCTGTACAGAATGCTGAACGCATCGAAGAATGTTGTGCTGAAGTCGCTAACATCTGCGCCCAAGGATTTTGGACACATGGGCTAGGCCGGTACCCCACATGGAACTGGCTTGTTAAACTTCGACGGTCCAGTCCAAACGTCACAGACCAGCCGAGGCAGTGCTAGGCCCAAGGGGATGCCGGGAGGTGAACTAACGATGTCGCGCAGTTTATGCGATCATGCGCAATTCGTTTCTATTTCCACCCTAGAGCAGCCAGATCTAGATGGTGAGGTAGAAGTCTCGCGTGCTTCTAACCGCTTCAAGGTGTCATCGCCCTCCATTTGATCTCCGTAGTAACCGTCTCAGTCCTTCCGAAACGTGCTCTCCGCATGTGGTGTGACCCGGGTTATGCTGATTTGGGTGGCGCGTGCTTGTGGTGGCCGTCTCCGCGCGGAGTAAGCCCCGAACGGTGGTTCCTGCCGCTTCGCTAGCGCGCCAAATGGTAGGGGAGTCCGCTCACGTCAACGCCTCGCGCTTCCACCACAGCTACTCCATATCGGTACCCGTACGACGTTTGTCCAATCGCGAAACGGCTCTAGTGGGGATCTTGTACGAGGCGAGACGAGAGGTGGCAAAGAAACTCTATAAGAGATCAACAACCCCAATGCGGTTGCTCATGCCGAGGCTTGCCAGATACTTTGGTCATTGGAGGGCGAGTATAACAAGAAGATTACGACATCGAATCCAAAACGGAGGAAACGCATGGCGAAAGAGCACTCGTTGTTACGTTGATTGTGTCCAAGAGTGTATGGAGCAATTCGCCTTCGGAGTCACCGACTCGATTGCTCTTACCCCCATCAAATGTACACCATCTTCAGACTGGACCGCGTCGTCGTCCATGCAGGAATGTCCTTACGGCTGCTTAGTAGCCGCCAGACACCCGCTCGTAGCATGTTCATGGACTCTTCCGCCCCAGTACATTACCACCATTCCATGCATTTGTCCAAGCTAGGTGTAGGGACGACCTGTCAGGTACGCATGAATCGCGTGAAGTATGCGGCAAAGCAATGCACTTTAGCCTACCGGATCTATGCGACCTTTTGAAAGAATGGGTTCCCAGTCGAAGAGGCCCCTCATTGTGTGCTAACATTGCAAGTAATCTCGTGGCGTATAAACTAGACTGTAGACTGAGAGTTAGTTCTGCTGGGCTCGGACAAGCCCGACTATCCTCCCAGGAGCCTCAAACTGTATCAAGGGACCGGCTGAGTTAGTACTTTGACGCAATGCAGGCGTACCCGATGCCTCACGTCCCGTACACGTGGAGCCGAGTGCGAGGGCCCATCGTTAGGTAGGCTTATGCTTAGCTTGCTTCAACAATGGTACAGCACGGCGCGGCAGAGCGCGATTGCCATTGAACAACTCGATAACACGGCGAAAAGGGATCGAAACTTTCTTGGAACACTGCTGTCCTGAGCCAGGTTCACGGATATGCTAATGCAGGCGACATGTCGACATCCCCTCTTTTTATAGCAAACCAATAGATACAGTAGGTTTAGGATGCTGGCGAGTCCTGGTAGTCGTGAAGGATGTAGAGCAAACAAGCTCTACTAATGCGGTATTGACGAAACTTCGCAAAGGCTGTGCGAGGCGGTGTACTCCTACTTGGCCGTTCAATGATTGCTAATATAGTCATTTGTTATCACAAACTAACACCCCCCGGAAATCGTTGGTGCCACAGGAAGAGAGACACTGCGAGCATTATATGCATTAGACTGAGATATCAAAAACGTGAAAGACGGTAAAGAGTGGAGACACCATTTGGAGTCAGCTGCACTCCGAAGACACTCGCATCTTGTACAGCCTCACTTGTCACGCGTTTCTTGATAGTCACCCGCCATGGAGTACAAAAAAAGAGCAAAAAGAAGCTGAACATGCTCCTGTTCGAACTGAGTTCGTGACAGTCTGACGAGCAAAAACATACAACAGTGGTCACCCACCTAACTACTAATTCGCCGGTACACTGCTTGTATATGGCTGAGCGGACGGGAAGCCTAATTCTCAGTGTCCTATGGTCGTATGTGAAGGAGTAGCCGTTCTATGGTTTATATATTGTGAGTGTGGGCGTGTATGGTGGAGCTGCACCGGAATGGACAAGCGCCATCGGACACACGTAGGAAAGATTAGGAGCAGGAACATGTCCTGCCCAGCGTACAAGCATGCAAAGACTGTCGGTCATAAAGAGGGAATTTCGGGCCCAACCAGCAGACCCCAGCTTTTCTATGCATGCAGTGCCACTACTCTGGGTACTCTGTTCTGGAGTCGAATGTGTCTTTATCATAGACACTAGGAGATGTACAAGAAATATACGGATTGTAGGCAACGAGACTACCAAACAGCACGATGTTGAAGAAACAAAGACGAGTAGAGTAGTGTTGAACCTGGAAGAACCCCTTGGTCGCGCGTCGGCCAATGAGAGCGGGTATGACGTTTAGCGCGGGAGCTTGGCTGTGGTTCCCTTGCAACGTCTCGTCGCAAGCCGACATTGCGCAGCACCAACCGTACTCGTGAGCTCTATCACAACCAGCTGCATCTTCCATCTCGTCCCATCCGCCTCCGCCCCAATCCGTTGCGCCCAGTCGTCAAAGTGCGGTTCCCACACCTCGCCGGTCAATCGTCCGCCATGGATTTCTCAGACATCTTGTGAGTAGAGCTCGAGCTGTGCGGAGCTGTGCGAAGCTGCCCTGAAGCTAGGCAGCAGCTTTCCACAGAGCCATTGGGACTTGGGAGTGTCGAGAATCATAGCTAACTGAGCTTGTAGTCGCATGGTGAACTTCGCCGTGGCCGTATTCGTGGTCCTCGGTGGTATCGCGAAGTTGTTCCCCTTCAACGACTTGTGAGTGTACCCGGCGCCTCCATCGGCAAACCAATCCCGGCGCATCGCCTCTCCCCGTCGTACAACTTTGGGATGGCGTACTATATTTGGCGAGCACATAATGGCATGCGCGTGTGGATCTGGAGAAGAGTGCAAGCTGTCAGTCGAAGGACACTCGCTAGCCTGGTCCATGTCAGTCTGGGCCTGCGCTGGGCTTGAATACCATACACGCGAATGTGCGCATCCGTGACGACGCACAAGCATCGTACGGGCTGGGATTGCACCACCAGTCATGCCACCCGAAGTCGCGAGCGAAGCACACAACCACATCAAATGGCCTAGAAAAGCGCTGACAGTCCGCGTAGCTCTCACATCATCCTCGGTGTATACCTGATCATATTCGGTCTCGGTAAGGTCCAGCGTCCTTACGCAACCACATGCCGCTGACAAGCAACAGGAACTGCCCTCCTCGAGTTCCAGATTCCCCAGCAAGTGGCACGCTATGCCTCCTTCATGTTCTCTTTCCTCGGCCGCGGTATCTTCTACATCTTCATCGGCTCCGTTATCGTCGGCGAGCGCTGGTTCCGCATTGTGCCAGGCACTATCGTCGGCATAATCGGTGTGGGCTACGCTGCTCTGGAGTTCATTCCATCTATTGAGCCCCCGGCGAACATGCGGTACGATCCCCATACACTTTGACAACGTGTCATGTTACTGACGATTTTTCAGTGATGCTGACGCTGGCTGGGGCGCTGAACAAGTCTAAGTCCGCAGCTTGTGGACAGGAGGACGGCGGTCGAAGAGCCCTCATTCGTAGATCGCTTGCCCTGTCTAGGCTCGGTAAAAACCTCGTCGCGCGCTTATCATGTATTAAACCAAGTATTACATGTTATGGACATGTCTGGCGTAGAAAAGGTCTGCGGACCCTGACGGAAAGGGTTGGCTCTGTGCATTGTGTTGGATTTTCAAGGTTGGTTCGATGATCATACCCAGGTTTTGGTTACATGGGTTGGGGAGGAACTTTTGGACAGTCGGTGTATGATAGGTTATCTGATCTAAACGAGGCTGTAGTCGTCACACGTGTTCGCTTGTCTGTCTAGTGTCCGCAGTGCATGAAGCGAAGAGGCTACTAAGGCTTGCATTGCTACTAGTGTATCATGATGGAGCTCATTGCATTCCATGACAGGTCGTCAGATCTAATGTGTTTTAGTTTGTATAGTCACAATAACGATAACGCCATTCTGGACGAGTTATTTCGCCCCCCCTCGATTGGTGCAAGGCTGCGTGAGTGGCGTGCGGAGAGCAACCATTACAAATCGCTAGTGGTAGGCGAGACGGATCTGATCCGCCGACAGCTGGTCTATGGCGAGGCTCAAGTGGAGTCCAAGACTGATAGAGCCGATTTTTCCTTTTTCTTGCCGCCGAGCCCATGTATCGGAGATAACGACGTCCGACTTGCATTCGAATGCATGTACCTGAGGGTTGGTTGGCTCTGCATCCAAAGGTATGCAGGTGCGACGCACGCGTCGAGTGCTCTTTCGCCGTTCCTGAGCTTGTCTTATGGCTATGGCCGCCGTGGACGTGCTCTCAGGGTTGTCGCGCTAATCATCGGCTTAGAATAGCAAAGTCTTGATTGGCCACCGCCGCCCATTCACCGCCTAAGAATTACAGCTTGTACCGCACCAGCACCGCCAGGCCAGTAGGCAACTTGCGCAGAATTATGACGACGGGGATCCCGAGCGCACCTGATATCATCCCTTGCTAGACCCATCATTCTTATAGTCGTTTGCCAGCCATCAGTGTGCCACACCTCCTAAAGGTTGCCCAGGTGTCTACAAAGGCCCGAAGACCCGCATATCACACCAAGTCACGTTAGCGCCTGCTCCAGATTGACCTTCACCCTGATCGGATATCAGATCTAGCCGATAGCAAAGTCCGAACACTTATTTGGATCAAGCAGCTCCAATTCCCGGGCTGTAGGAACCGATTCACGAGATCTAGGCAACAGTGTGTCACCACGGCCGTAAGCCCACTCTTCTTACACGCACACCCAAGGTCACCGAAGACTGGCCTCATGGCACATCCTCCAGGGAGCGGGGGCACCTCTTTGGCTCCAACTCCGACACATCCACATCATCTATCGCGGGAAACGAGCAAGGACGAGCTAGAGATGGCTGAGAGTCTACGGTTACTTAACCAGGCCCACGAGCACCACAGACCGAGGACAGAGACTCCGTCACAGGAACAGCAGCAGATTCACAGCCAGGAAGACCAAAGACATGAGATTTATCATTCACTCGAGGATGCGGTGCCCATCTCAGAGCAACCGGCGAACCCGGCAGACTCGACATCTCTACAACTGCCCAACATGAGCTATGACGCATCCAACGCGCCTGTTGCCGGACAAGTCTGTAGGTACGTTGTCTGAAATTTTGCTGTGTGCTTGCCACCACTCAACAGTCGCCCGATTACAGTTGAAACCAGATCTGCAGAGAAGACGCTAACGGACCGAAGTAACTGCAAGACAACACAAACGCCGCTTTGGCGCCGATCACCAGCTGGAGAAACTGTGTGCAACGCATGTGGCTTGTACATGAAAGCGCGGAATCAATCACGTCCAGTGAATCTCAAACGCAACACTCAGACTCAGCCGATTATGCCCGTGCAGCAAAGCCCAACTCCGGGCCCTTGTGACGGCAACCGAACGTCACCGGGGTCCCTTGCGGCTTCGCCCCGAGTCGCGACCTACGTTGCTGCAGACCAGATGACAGCCGGCACATGTCCTGGTGGGGGCCGATGTAATGGCACTGGCGGTCAACAAGGCTGCAGTGGCTGCCCAGCGTTCAACAACCGCGTGTCCAAAACTGCTAAATTCGCATTGGCCCAGGCGAATGCTGCATCAAGCGACGGAACAAACGGAGCAGACGCTGCATCCAGTGCAGCGGCAGCAGCAGCTTCTACAAGTGCTATTCCCGCATGTCAAAACTGCGCAACTACAATTACACCACTCTGGAGACGTGATGACGCTGGTCACATAATATGCAACGCCTGTGGTAAGTCTATATCTGCTTAAGGGACTGACGAAGGTGACCGTTTGCGATAACTAACTCCAATCCGCAGGACTCTACTACAAACTGCATGGAACACATCGCCCTGTCGCAATGAAGAAGCAGGAGATCAAACGCCGGAAACGGGTCGTACCGGCTGGTGACACAGGCTCCCAAGCAGCGCCTTCTGTTGCGGACTACTCCCCACCGCAGCGTCCGTCCCAAACCCCAGCATTCGAGCATTCCGTTTCTCCAGACCCGTCGACAGCGCTAGAATCTCGAGAAGACTATACACCCGAACCTAGAGGACCAATTGCCGTTGATTTCACCCACTATTATGGTAACGCCTCGGTAACGTCAAATCCGGCCACTCTTATACCGAATACACAACCCAATGCACCATCGCCCCGCAAGCGCAGTCGAAGTGCTACCATGGACCCAGAAGAGACCGCCAACCCCATGCCTCATCGACCGAACGCCATCTCTTCGATATTGAACCCATCCCAAACCGATGTAAACGCCAATATCGACCCTTCGCTATCTGTTCCACTTCGTCCGAGTGCGGGCTCGTCACCTAATCCCGGAGTTTCGCAAGAAGAGAAGGCAGCTAGGAGGGAGAGATTGAAGAAAGAAGCAGAGGCTATGAGACAAGAACTAGAAAGGAGACAGAAAGAGTTAGACGAGTTGGAGAACGATTGAGGTGTTTGTCAGTTGTCATTCGAAATGCAGCAGTAGAGCTGGGCACTGAGGTTTCGCGAAAAAGCACGTGCGCCAAAAGCGGTCTCGTTCGTGTGATGGCATACACACTTCCTGTATATGCACAAGGTCTGATGGTTTAGAAGACGTCTAACGACGTATGGGACGCGATTATTCGATATCACTATCGTCTAGTCATGGGTATAAGGCGTTAGTCTGGCGGTGGAGGAATACTCTATCTTTTCACGACAGTTTCATGAATACCACAATCATCAAGACACTAGGCTCTGCATCGTAGCTTAGTCATACTGTTGCTTCCTCAAACTATACAACATTGAGGCTACACATTCCAAACATACACACTACCTCTACTAGTAACGATTGCCGTCCCACAAACGGTTCAATGCTGAACAGAAACAAGACCTTCGTGCTGTTTGTGTTCGGGCCTCAACAATAACGTCGTTTTTTATGTCTATACCAATACCTGACATTATCTCCAAGGTGGACGTATTCGTAGAAGGCGTTCTAAAAGTTACAGGAATGCATGCTGATGCTCCGGTTCGCCACATCCTTCTTGTCAGGCGTTAGGCCTGACAGATACGACGCGATAGTACCGTTTACCTACTTGATACGGAGCAAGACAGAGATATCACTTCCGATGATATCACTTTGACTGCCCGGGCAGCCACTCATTGGCAGCGCAAGCTCGATTGTGCCAACATGAAACTTCCTGAATCGGATGCTCATCAACTCCATATCAAGGACATACGCTGCTTTCACATTCACGTGGCAGTGGGTTATTATGAAGCTATGTGCGTACATATGAGGTCAGTGTTCCATAGGACTCACGTTCGATCTGGAAACAATCTTAGATGGTGCAGCTCCAGAATGTGAGTCCATCGGTGTGGTGGAACGAGACCATATTAGTGTCACCAAACTATAAGACAGTAATAGACTGGCTGCTCCAGTCTGGGTTGGTCAGCGATCGTTTGTTCTCAGACTCAGACTCTTCGCCTTTCTGATCGCAACTGAAGCGGCCTCAGTGAAGCACGAGAGTGCTATAGAAGGATTGGAACGAGAAGCAGCGCTTGCGATATTCAAGCATCCAGACCTGCACATATGTGGCTTCTCCATGGACGTTGGTCAAACATACGGCACAAAAGCACACATCGGCCCTTCTGGGATCTACGCTCACGGCATCTCGTGCCCATCGCCATCTCGCCTCCGGCTCTTATCGCGCACAATTGCGATCTTCAGATTCGCTAGCGAGATAATCGGAGAGACAATGCGGTTCCCTCAATCCATCGTAATGGTCGTACCGACGGGCCGCGCCGTACGAAACAGTGAGAAAATCAACATATGCGTCGATCGTTTCCGAGAACAGCGGATGATAGCTTTTGTGCCAACAATGGCAACGTTTCTTTTTGGTGCTAGAGTTACGAAAAAGCTGTCGTGTCTCCGGAAGTCGAAGATGGTGAGGTCAATGGCGTATGCGGACGGAAGTTCCCGAGTGTGCAAGATAGATGCGAATCGAAAGCCGAGTTGTGCCAGTGTAGAAGCATGTCCGGCTTGAAAGAATATGTAGCAATACTGGTTATTTATACAAACACGCGACGCTGCAGTCATGCGTTCAAGAGGTGAGGTGTGGGGTGAATTTGCGCGATATAACAAAGAGGAAGGAGGAAAAGACGTCATACCCAAACAACGAGAACACGACGACGACGCAACCCGCCAGCACACACAGGTCGAGCTAGGTGGTAACGGACTTCTACCATGATCCGTCAGCATCGTACTTTTTGGTACGCATCTTACCACCGCGCCGCAAGTCTCTGTCTATTGGCTGGCGTTCAGCACCGCGTTTTGACCTGCAATCCACGCTCTGGAGCGGCAATTGCCAGAAGCAGCAATAAACCGGGGACTTTGATCTCGATACCAAAGTGTGAGATCGAGGATCGTGAGTTTGGGTCGTGAAGCGACGGCTCTACATGATGCCGTTCCAATCAGGTCCAAAGCTGGGATGTCGACTGGTGTGGAATCGACGATGAAGACAAAGCACTTGGTAGTAGCGCTGGGGGGTTCGAGTCACGCAGCACCGCAGATTGATGTTGATGTGGTGCATTGTGAAGATGTATATCAAGTGCATTCCGGCTGTAGACTTAGTAGACTGACTGCGTCGACCTTTTCAAGCTCTCTCATCGCGTTCATGGCGGGGAAGTTGTGATGTACGGGACGTTCAATGTGGTTCCCGCACTAGGCCTGTCAATCCGCTAACGTCAGGGTCTAGATCCCTCCGCTGAGTGCCGATCTGTGCGATATATGTATGTAAGACGCTGACCTCCTCGGCGTACCTTTTACAGTTGCATCAGCTGCGCGTCATGCTGTCGCATTATTAGCTAAGGTTGCAGGGCCGGCCTGCGGGAGCTGCCACATGGGAACATGTGTGCAGGTACGGGCCGGTAACGATAGTTTAGCGCGCGTGGACCGACAGCCTTATTTTGAGATTTGGCTGCAGTGAGGTCTTGTTGGTGGAGATTCCATAACAGTCATTTTGAGAGCAGGCTGTGTTGTGAGAGGTTCGTAATATACCCGATGCTCCAATCGCTGGCGATACAAATTAAATGAGTCTGATCATGCTGAACTTCAGGGTAGGAGCAAGAGTTTGCTATCCTGATGCAAATGGTGCAGAGTCACTATGGGCTTTTCTTTACAGGATCTCAATTCCCTTCATCTTTGGCACACGCATGGTGATTGATACGCGATATAGCTCGTAACTGCTCCGATGAGATGGAGCCCAGCCTGATTTCTGCTTACATGGTCCAGCTCCGTGTGAACTACGAAAGGGGACATTCGTTGGAACCTGTGCATAAGCGAGCTATTGTGGGCATCCCGATATCGATCATCCGCCATGCAGTTTGCGCACGGATGGGGGAAGAGACGTATGAAACTAGGGCCCGAGGCACTCCACAGCTCGTCTTGACAATCAATCACTATCCGTCGAACGAACAGTTTTCCCGAATGTATAGCGAACGCGGTGGGTTGCGTGTTTGCTACGAAGATCAGCGCACTACAGGGATAATGGAGTGGCCACATGAGTGGCTTCCCACCCGCAACAAGGCGCATGCAACGGCGTTGGAATGCTTAGGTGCATATAGCAGCGAGTGAAGCTGCAGCCGAACTGGTGTACAGCGAACTGGCCGAACAAGGTCATCATCCGTGCCGATGCGGGCAGGGCGTACTTCCCGTTTGGGTACATTTTGGGAATAGCCTAAACAGCGGCGGGTGTAAATAATTGCTGAATATCCACATTGTCGGGCCGCACCTTGATTGCAGTTGGACAGGAGAGAAAATATTTGTCAAGAAGGACCGCAAAGTGGTCAAGTGAAGCGAACCGATCTCCAGGACGTGAAGGTTGAGTTGACGTACTGGGCACGTGCCACACGTGTTGCGGATGCGGCAAGAACGGCGCATCGGGTTCTGGGAAGCAGCCCCAACCTAGTGTTTCACGAAATCATGGCGATCTGCAAGTTCTGGTGTTCGTCCGGAGAAAAGCTCCCTGGGTCAGTCGGCCCTAATCCAGTCGCTATCGCGTCGCTTTTGAGACACGCGTGTGCATTGCCGATGCCCACTTGACTCTCTCCTGATCGACTTCCCCTCTTTCAGTCGGGGTGTAGGCCCTGAAACGGCCGTGCAGGGATAGCGCCATCTCTGTGATAATCTACATCCAATGGCAACGCCCGGGCAAGGCTCGCGAGTCGAAACACCACGCGCTTGTGGCTCCAAGCGGATGATCACTGCGATTGCATCGCCGCTGGTCGCCGAGGGATGTGAATGTACCGCCAGTAGCAGTCGCCATGCAACGTGAGCTGGCAATCTGGATCAAAGGTGTTCGTGCGGGGTGCGACAGCACGTCAAGACGTGCATGAGGGTTGTATTTTGCCGCCATGCTGTAGCGAACGGGAAGTGTTGTGAGCAGAAGACGAGGCTGTGTGGTGATGCGAGTAGAGATGAATTATGTTCATAGAAGGTAGGTAAAGTTAAACGACCCTAAAAGCTGTCAAAAAAATAATGAAATCTTTTGACTCCCCGAAGCGTGCTGCATGGTGCCTCGCATGGCATGCCGACAGGAGGGAATACAGTGTACCGATCAAAATGCCATAAAGAAATCGGTCTAGATAGATGAACGTGAACACGAAGAGCGCCACCAGATAAGAAAGACGGAGTCGATACCAGTAGTAGAAGTAGGGTGTTCGGAGGCGCATCCAGCAGACGTGAATCCGTTAGCCCGTAATGCGAACCCTAAGTGACAGTATCGAAAAGAAGAGGTGTTTGAACGACAGGCCTCCGTAGACGGAGGTGGGCTGACAGTACGTAACAGTAGCATCGCGTGTTTTCTTCTGCTGGCCCAAGCAGCACCGCCAATGGCCAGGGCGGTCGACCGAACCCAGCGGTGTAGGTATCTCTCCACAACAAGAATCATGGCTTCCATATCCTTACATGACTGTGCATCCACAGCAGCCCTTCTTCTCGGCCTGGTCATCGGTGTCAAATGTCTGCTTTGTGGGGCCATTTCCGTTTGAGCCAGGGGCACCTGTGTAGGAGGACATTTCCTTGTTGTATCTGCGGATCTCGCGTACGATGTCGTAGAAGGCGTTGTCAACGTTGATGCGGGATTTGGCCGATGTCTCGATGAATTTGCAGCCAAAGTTGCGCGCCAGAGTCTGGCCCTCTGTGCAAGGGTCAGCACGTGCGGGTGGTCAGGGATGGGATGCAAACGTACCTTGTGTCGAGACCTGCCTCTCACCGTCGAGATCGCACTTGTTACCAACGACGATCATGGGGAAGTAGTCCTTGTCCTTTACTCTCAGGATCTGTTGCTGGAATGTCATAATCTCCTCGAAGCTCTGCCTGTCGGTTATCGAGTAGACGAGCAGGAAGCCCTCTCCTGTGCGCATGTACTGCTCGCGCATAGCCGAGTACTCCTCCTGGCCGGCTGTGTCGAGCAC